ACACACACACACACACACACACACACACACACACACACACTGTGTCATGTTTCATTAGGCAGAACAACACTGCTGCACATTAGCTCTTGGTACCTCAGCCATTACACAGCATCTTCCCCTTTAACCAATATCAACAAAAGACGAAAATATATATTTATTTATTATATCAAAAAAGGGGCTCAGAGTTTCTCTTCAATGGACGTTAGTGACGAAGCATCTTTTGAGAAAAATATACCTGACAGAGCAATTTGGCTTTACTTTCTGTTCACAATGAATCAATCCTAGTGGAAAATGACAATTGCCTCGCCTTGTTTGCTTTTATTAAGGACCCCCTCCCCCTTTCTTCTGTATAATTTTATGACTGATGGATTTTAATATCATTCGCAGAAAGTAGGTGTTTGTTGGGCATGAGGTGGGGGTGGGGAGGGGGTAACAACTCACACCCATGTTTCAGGGGAAATGGTTAAGCCAAGCATGTATAATTGTCTTACGCTAATTAAAGGGGGATAGGAGAGGGGGAGGGGGGATCAGTAGGGGCCAAGAGTCCTGTCTCAAAGCCTGGAGGGGGGGGCTTGGGGATCTGGACTCCTCCAGGTTGGTTGTAGAAATGCACATTTGTGAGCCTTATTGGTCCAGAACAGACGTAATGCATCAGCTGCAGCTGCCGAAAACACGACAGATGTGACACACATGCGTACACACACACACACACACACACACACACACACACACACAGATGACAGAAACGTGCATCCTGCAATAGGGCACACAGACACATCGTTTCCCCAACCCTGATTCTCTGGCTCCAGTTCTAATTTTACAACCAAGTTATGAATAGAACAAATAAAGAAAAAAAAACCATCTAGTTTTAGCGAGTGACATTGTTGTCCATCGTAGTCTGGCTCGATTTAAAATGGGGACTTTTGTCTCAGTTAGTCATTATTTCTATGGCACATCCTGTTTCCTCAATTCAGATGAAGACTTAAAAACAACTTGACAGGATCAAAAGTTTTGCAGTTTTCCATCCACTTTTTCAATGCATGGAAATTATATTGGGTTAAACTGAAACTTCTTGGTCATGACCAGAAAAACATTACTGTCATGGTTGAACAAAAAAATTAATTGCTGACGATGACTTAGGAACACTATAGGATGTTTGTCTATAGCAGAATATATCCAGTGACACTTGATGGAGAGACTGGAGAGATGCAGCGTGCCGTGTTCAGTGTCTTTGTTGGAGTGAGTTACATTTGTGTCACTCTCCAACAAATAAATGTTGATGCTCATACATTTATTTATACACAGAGTGTATTTGGAAGCATGAGGGATGCATTTAAATTGCTTCCTGTTAGTGGAGCAGATTTTTCTGTTATAAAATGATACCATAATAGGAAGTGAATCAGAGAAACTATACAAAAGTGGTCAATTAAAATCTCAATGATGTGCTTTGATGCCGTTGATATACTGTAAATTTACCTGGTAAAATATTATAGGCTGAAACCATGTGGAAACTTCAAATGCTATGTTGATTATTGTTAGCAGAAGTACTGATTAGGTTGCATTTGTCCGCAATGTATTGACTTACAAGAGAAAAAGAAAAAAATCCAGGCAAATTAAGATTAAACACATGAAGACAAACTTCTTTATATAAATTCTTATTGTTTGCTTGCTCATGCAAACCTGTTGCTCCCTTTGTCTTTTTTATAATTTAATTTTAGCAATATATATAGATATATATAGATAGATATATTGTTCTGCTTTGGGACAATTCAGTTGTAAGTGTCTACAAGGAGAAGCACACTTTTTGAAAGAGGCTCTACATGTGTAGGTAGTGTTGGTGAAGGGGGGGGGGTGCCTCCTGCAATTAAAAACACAACAATGTGTCCATGAGGGCGCGTGAGGGTAACAATTTTAGAAGAACATCAAAGGGGTCCAAGAAACTTTAAAGGCCCAGCACGGAGCCCACTCCCCTCGTGACAAAAAAAAACGATACATGGCAACTTAGTGGAAGCAATGTGCTGATTTGTCTTTAATTCCTGACGGAGGATGAATGTGTTCACCAGACCAAAACCTGAACCGAGACTACAATTCAAACCCGGATGAGGCCGGGACTACTTAATCTCACAAACCCCTTTCCTCGTGAATGTGTCTGCAGAGAGAAAATGGTCGCTTCTTCTTCTTCTGGCTTATCGCTTCATACATGAGCCTCTGCAATGCGACTGCACACTGATCACTAAGAAACCGTGTGGCTCTGTCTCTCGCAACCATGTGAATTCACTAGGGACGAGACCCAAACGCGTGAGAGCTAATTCCCCCCCAAAAAAGATGGAGTTATCCCCTCAGAGGACTGCTGCACTAGCGGTCACCTGCAAACAGAAATCTTAGGGACCCTCGTGGGGCTAAAAAGGTGCAAAGACAACGCAAAACAACAGAACCCACCCGCCCCCCTCGTGTGGTGGAAACTGGACGGATGTGCTGAATCGCCTGACCCCCTTCGTCCCAGCTCTGCCTGCAGGAGCCGGGAAACATGTCGGTGCACCGGGGGAAAGACACGAACACGCAGCGCTCCCGTGAACTCGAGGTGTGAGCTGCAACGTGAGGCTGGGTTTTTAATGCGTGTGTCTGTAGAAGGAAAACCTCCGGAATGGGACGAGGTGGAAGCCGAAAACGCCGCTGAGCCATGGCCGACATGGGCTCGTCTTCACGGCCGTGAACAGGGAAGGGACCGGCGGGGGAGCGAACAAAAGCCCCTTTTCCTGTTAACACTTTGCCAAGTCCTTTCATTTCAACCCCCCTTTGCGTGGCTTTATCACGCAGCCAAGATACACGATGGGCCACACACCCCCCACCCCGACATCACATCTTGTAGAAACGGGTCAAAATAGCCTCATCAACCCCCCCCCCCCTAATGTTCAAATAGCCTAAAACATGTCTGGTGTCGAAGAAACGCTGCACTGGATAAACACTCCTGTCCCTTTAAATCAAAGGCATGTAAGTGCAAGCACGTTGAACTTGTCTTTTTAAGAGAAAATGGTATTCGACCCACATCGAGCACAAGCGATGGTGGTGGTCACCTTCACATCCCCCCGATCAAAGTTTACGCGTTTTCACCGAGGCTAGCGAAAAAGCCAAAGTTGAATCGAGCGAGCGCATTTGCACGGATATAGGTGTTGGGTACTTACGTATTTCTTTTGAATGATATTCCTCTTAGGTCTTTCCTTGCTCATCATGCAATCCCCAGGAGTTTAAAATAAACAGAGAATGGCCACATGAATGTCTTTTCCTTTTCTCTCCCGGAGCACCACCAGCCACAAGCGACGATTTAAATCCCCGGCTCTGTAGGAAAAAAGCTCGCTGGCTTCGCGCAGTCCTTCCCTCGGCGTTTTTCTCTCCTTCGACTATATTCCCACACAAAAATATAGATAATAATAATAATTTAAGGATCGACGACGGCGAGCACAGACCCAAACTCACTCGGGGGTAACATAGTCAAAAACAGGACGCACAACAATAAGTTCCATGCGCCGGGGCAGCAGCGGCTCGGTCGGCGGCTTCTTCTTCTTCTTCCCCTTGTCGCTGCGCACTCGCTCCCGGCTCTTTTCAAATGCATGTATGTGCGCGACGTGATGTCAACAAGTTACATCTTGCGAGGAGAAACGAATAAATAAAAATTAAAAAATAAAAAGCTCGCGTCTCTGCGTTCCTTCCTTTCTTTCTCTCTGTTTTTTTTCTGGGGCTGGAGCCTGCGGTCGACGGGAGAGAGCTCTCCAGCGGCACTGCTCTACTGACGGAGAGCAGCTCCTTTCTTCCCCAGCCTCGGCCCCCATCAGCCTATCACATCCTGCACCACTCAGCGGCAACTTCAAAATCCGTCTGACACTGAACACCACATAATCTGCCCTCACCCTGCTCCTTCATGCATTTATATTGAATGTATGGTAACTGGAATACACTGAGTACAGTGATCTCACATGAAAAGAGCAGATTTAATATAGATATAACATCAGCTTTTAAGGTTAAAGGGATAGTTCACCCAGAAATGAAAATTCACTTATTATCTACTCACCACTAAGTCAATAGAGGGGTGGTTAAAGTGGTTGAGTCCACAAAACACTTTTGGAGTTTCAGGGGTAAACAGTGCTGCAGCCAAATACAATACAACTGAAATAATGATGACCTAAAAAAGATGAAAAAAACTACAGAAAACAACATAAAATGGCTCCATACTGCTCCTGTGGTGTCATCCAAGTGTCTGGAAGCCCCTACATTCAAACACAGAACAGTGTAATTTACACAAATGTCTACTGCTCCTCTGGAGCCACGCAGCAATTTAAAGTTCTTCCGGACAATTTAAAATACTAACTATAGCAGTAGATGTTAGCCGGTGTTAGTGGCCCCCAGCAGAAGTTAGGGACACAACTTCAGTTGTGCACCATAGCGTCATAAAGTGTTTTGGCCGTGTTTTGGTAATCAACAATACAGGCCAAATTTGAGGGTACGCTGAGGTTAAAGGTTAATCTGACTGGCTGGTATGAAAGTACTGTGAAAGCCATGTGGTAAACACTCTCCCCTTTTAGAACATAGGACAAGATAAAGAATATCCCTTGTATGTTCTACCGCGCTAATTAATACCTATACCAACAGTTGATGTGAGCGGATGCTACTGATCACCAACGGATGTTAGGGACATATCTTTGCACCCTATGAGCAAATACCTCCACCAAGGCCCTGATGAAACCAGATTTAATTACACTAGATTCTGATTTGTACACACTCAAAAGGATTTTTTTTTCATCAAGCTCCATGAATTATTCTATGAGCTATCGACGATAATGTTGACAAATCTCATAATGTTAATTTATCCAAATCCGAATCTGCACCTAAATTTAACGGGTTCTTGTTCCTTCCACCAAGTTTCGTGGTACTTTTTGTATAATCTTGCTAACCAACAGACAAACAGATAAAAACAAAACTTCCTTGGCAGAGGTAAAAAAGTTAAGGAATATCTAGAAGAAACTATAGGAACACAAAAGGCATACAAAAAGTGGAGGTTTCTTATGTAAATGTCCAATCCCAACCCCCGCACAATGCACCCCCACAAACCTTAACCATGTGGTTACACATTACAGCAGAGACTTGCATTTGGAGAAAGGCTGTGCTTTCAGGGATCTTTCACCATAGAACACTTAAATTAGTTAGGTATAGTTTTGCCTGAATTCCATATAATTAATTATTAATTCAGAGTAATTCTTATACATTTGTTTCCTGTTTCAGTAAGAATCTGATTAATCTCTTTCCTATGGAGGCTGACAGGAGAACACCCAGTGGTATCTACACCCCAATTTGCTTCAAAATGAACAAACTGTTAAATCTGATTTAAATATGTTGATCCACAGCTCAGTTACACACCTTCAGTCCTCTTTACTCCCATTGAACTGATCTGCTCTCCCACCACGTTCTCACACATCCAACAAGGAATAAATGACTGTGGGAGAATCTTGTTGGCATTATTTCCCTTACTCAACTGCAATTATATATTCACATATTTTAGAATATCATAGCTCAAACTGACATCTTTAAGACAACATGTGTATCCTTGGTTGTACTTCCCGGGACAAAAAAGAAAAGTCCCCAAAACATAAAGTCATTGAGATATGGCAGTGTGTGTGTGTGTGTGTGTGTGTGTGTGTGTGTGTGT